GTTGCAACTCAACCACGTTCGCAATGTCCGGATTAAGTCCCGCTAGGAATCTTGCCATTGTGGCTTCTCGATCCTCATCGATGTTGGTTCTAATCATGGCCACCTCCATCTCTTTGTGATAATCTTCAACACTTCGGTTACCTTGTGAAAGGTTTTGAAGACGGTTGAATAACTCCCGATGGTAGTGGGTTGGAATGAATCGCCTTCGCATCACTGCTTTCATTTCATCCCATGTAGTGATAGGATGTTCTCCATTGCGTCTCCTACTTGATGTCAATTGATCCCACCATATTAGTTCATAATCCATAAACTCAAGGGCAGCAAGTTTTACCTTCTTGAGTTCGGAATAATCATGGCACCCGAAGATGTGCTCTACCTTCTTTTCCCATGCTAAGTAAGCCTCGGGATCCGTCTTGCCTTGGAATGGTGGAATGGAAATCTTGATATTAACAAGATTATCATCCATTAATGGACGAAACCTTTGGGGCCTTATACCTCGATTTCCCATTCTTTGTTGTGATGCACGATCTTCTTCTGGTCTTTCCACTCCTTCATTTCCTCCTTGATTGACATCTTCTTGCTCTCGAAATCCTTGAGTACGCTATTCTTCAATACGGTCAATACGTTCATGGAGAGGTTCCAACTCTTCCCTCAAAATCCTAGTCAATTCACGCACCATGGCTTGCATTTGTAGGTTTGGTTCAACGGTACCTGTAACTTGAGAATTGTCTCCCGAATGATGAGACATAATTAGTAATAAAACAATAACCTCACACAACAACAAAAAAACCTCACCAAACACTCCAAGAAAAGTCACTCCCACTCGTGTTTCACTCGGGATGGCTTTTACCCTTAATGATCACTCTTGCCTTTTACCACTCGTGCTTTGATTTCAAGTCCTTTGGGGAACTTTCTCAAGGCTTACAAGGTCTAGTGGACTTCGGCTGAAACATTTATGGTTTAGTATTAACGATAGTGAAAAGAAATTGGCTACAAGGAAAAGAGATGGTAAGCAAAGGTAACAAAAATTGAACAATTGAATATAAAGATGAAGTAAATATATATTTTTTTCTTTAAAGATGAAAAGAATTACTCCCTCCCTCTTTAAACTTTTTTTTTTCTTTTTTTTTTTTTTTGTACTGACCCGGAAGAGAGAAAAATGATACGCTTACTGAATCGACTAGCTCTGATGCCAAATGATATGATCTCGATTATATATTTCGAGTCATATATGTGAATGTCCGATCGTGATTCTAGTAAAAAAACCCGTAATGATAGCTTGAACTCTGAAATTACATAAATATAAACATAAAAAAATAAATGATATGAAATAATAATTGAAATGATGGAATGAAAAGAATGAGAAAGTTGTTTGAAGGTGATGGAAGAGTGATGGCTGTTGTGGTTTGATGATAATAAAAATAGATGGTGAAGTATGAATGGTGTTGTCGTGGCAAATGGTGTTGTTGTGGCAAAGTGTGTAAGGATAAAGCGGATTGTGACCCGTTAGCTATTTGGAGCTAAGAACCAACAATATAAAAAAAATTGGAATCGAAATGGTAGGGTATGGAACGTGACCCACTAGCTATATATGAGCTAGGAACCAACGCTATAACAAAAGGAAATGGATGAAGACTACAAGACTATCTTGAAGCCGATAAAGTTCTACAAGAGAACAAGAATGAAAGCAACCTCTCAAAGATGTTTTATATATTCAAAATGTGTCCTACAAATGATCCCAAAGGTGTCTATTTATAGTATTTCTAAGAAGCATATGAAAAGACTCAAAAGATGAAAACATTCTCATCAATTTAGCAATAAAATGCACTTGAATGCTTTGTCTTCTTATCTTCAAAGTTGGATGAATATTCTAGATCATTTTGGGGATGAATCTAGACAATTTGAAGCTGAATTTGGCCTTAATTTCGTCCAAGGGTTGGAAGACTCTTGCTATTCCATGCTGAAAATTGTCTTGATAAGTGAATTAAATCACCCTTCTTTGCATGCTCCCTTGAAGAATATGAACAGCCCTTGAACTTAGATGATAACAATCAGCTTTGAATGCCTTTAATAGGTGAATTAAGAGTCCTTCAATGGCTTGTCACTTGGCTGAAGTTGAAAAGACTCTCCCTTGGCTCAAACTCATCCAAATCATCCATGCATAAAATTCCCGTAACAAAATTCCAGCCTGCACTGTCTTCAATAAATCGATCATATCTCAAGCTCCCGATATCGGATTAAGGTGATTCAAAAGGCGTTGGAAAGCTAAGAGATAGAGGAATAATGTCCAATTGATTTCTAGAACCAAACACATCTGTATAGCATACAGAATTGGAAGACATTCTGACTGACATTCTTGCATATGATGAAACCATTTAACTTCTCTCATGCACCTAGACACAAAGGTGAACTTTATTCAATATTTAATTGAAAACATGCATGAAACAATTAAGAGTTAATATAATAAAAGAACTAATTTGATGAATGAACTAGATGATTTAAATGCAATGCATGCTTGAATGAACAACACACTTATTAAATGCAATGAATGTTATGCAAACTTTAAATTCTCATGCAAATTCATGCATAAGCAAAGTAAAGTATTCCTCCCTTATTATTCCTTTTTCATCACGTTCCAAACGTGATGTAAACATACTCTCCATAGTTGCTTGAAATTCCTTAGCCCATGCTCGTGTGATGGGGCCACTTGGGTACTTCTCCGGGTCTTTGCTATTGGCTATCATATCATAACATCTAAAGTCTGGTTTTAAAAAGCGCGCCGCCTAGACGTAAAGCGCTTATAGGCGAATGAAAAATCACCTACAACGTTGCAGGTGAAGCGAGTACGAGAAGCGTACTAAAGCGCTCGTTTTTGGCGATTTGACCAAACTGACATATATTTACCGAATATTTACCTTTTTAGCACCGTTTGATATATATTTCCTGAAGTGGCACCCTTTCGGCTGAGCTGGCGAAAGGCGTGCCCCCGGGGACGCGCTTTACCCGTGTTTTTGCTAACTCGACTGCCACGTGTGGAAGGAAAATGACATAAATGCCCCCATCCGTTTTCCCTAACTACCCCTCCTCATCCCCTATATAAACCCCCTCAACCCTCCCTCATTTTTCACACCAAAATCATATTCTCCTCTCTTATATAACTTAAATTCTCCAACTATTTGAGTTTTAAATTTGTTATTAGTGGTAAGAAATTTATTTTTATGTTAGTATTTTTTTAAATAGTATTATATTTTATAGTAATATATTTATGTAAATATTATTTTTTTATTAAAATAATATTTATATAATTATTATTTATTTAGAATTATTAATTTTTTGTGCTAATTATATTGTTTTGTCTACAGTTATAATAGAAAACGAAATGCTGTTGCGATTGGATATTGATCATATCTCCAGACATTTTAGCGATATGGTAATATTTATTTAATATAATAATTAATATTATTAGTTATAAAAATTTTTAAAATATAATAATAATTACACCTTCTAAGTAGAGAAAAATATTAAATTAAACAAATTAAAAGTTATTAAAAAATTTATGTATACGATGACACATTTCATGTTCTGATTGGAGGATTAAATTTATTAAATTAAATTTCAATAAGACTAATTTCATAAAATATGTAAGTCTTGAAGATTAAATATGTAATTATACTAATTTATTAACTTATGCATTAATATTTTTGTTAAATATTGATAAGAGATGACTAGATTGATAACATTTAAATAATTAACTGATAAAATTAATAAATCGATAATCAAAATCAAAAATAATAATATAACTATACGTGTAATATTATAATTTCATACATTTTTCATATAACTACAATAAAATCAAAATTGATTTTCATATATTGTTCTATCATATTAATGTAGATAATTCACTCCACCTTTAACACGTATTAACAAAATACATTTGATAATTCTTACATTATAATCGAAACACTTTACATAATATATTACTAATTTATAATAATAATAATAATAAAATATTTATTATTAAACAAAATACCAGCGTGGTAGTCGAGTCAGTGAAGGCGCGTCCCCGAGGATGCGTCTTCCACACGTGGCATCCAACTCAGCGAAAACACAGGTAAAACGCGTCCCCGGAAACGCGTCTTTCGCCAGCTCAGCCGAAAGAATGCCACTTCAAAAAATATATATCAAACGATGCTAAAAAAATAAATATTCGATAAATATATGTCAGTTCGATCAAATCGCCCCGCTTTTACGCCTTTTTTGAGAAGCAACAAGCGCACTGCGCCTAAGCCCTCCACCGCTATTTTATCTTTTTGTTGGAATAGATGAAGGCTTGCACATAAAGACAAAAAGACAACAGGCATAGCTTTTGTTTACCAAAAAGCTATGAATTAGTCCCTAAGTTTAAATTAATCCCTTAACTTTTAAATGTTTCAATTTCAACCCTAAACTATGACCATCATTCTAAATTAATCCTTAAACTCTCAATTTCATCCATAAACTATGACTTTCATTCTAAATTAATCCCCTAAACTATGTCCTTAAACTATGAATTTTTGTTTAAGTACTAATTTAGAATGAAGTAGATGAAATTAAAATATACAAAAATTTAAAGATCAATTTAAAATAAATGTTATAGTTTGCGGATATATGATACAATAAACTCTTGTTTTATACATTAAAATTTTTCATGCTTAAACATATAATTATTAGTTTATTATAGTGTAATTGTTGAAGTGTTTTGGAAACTAAGGTTCCGAAAACAAGAAATAGTGGACGAACATAGTGTGTGGGGAGGAGATTAATTGATTTAGGAGTGAATCAATGGATAATGGGTATGAATATGTTTCAAAATTGATTTATAATTTTTTTTATCACAAAAGGTGTGCCTCGCCTGCAAAAGGCGCGCGCCTCGCCCAAAGCCCTATGCCTAAACTCCAGGGACCTTCTGCATCTCGGTGCGCCGTGCCCCTTAAAAACCAAGAACTAAAGCAAAGTCAAGGTAAATCAATATTTTCTTCCGTTCGTCGGAGATATAAATTCAATATGGAGATTTACATACTGAAAATTTTCTGTTTCTTTTCCCTCCCTAATGGACCATACATTTGCAGAACTAATCAGTAATATATGTACGTTACATGAAGACTTCCAGCCAGTATTCTATTACCAGTCGTCTTCAAGGCTGGCACGGTGGAAGCACAAGACGGTGCAGACAAATATGATGAACGATGTAAATTCAATGAACATTGCACCTGTCGAAATCATACGAACATGCCTAAGAATAATAGGAATTGCAAAGCTTCCCACAGCAGATGCTCCGGTAAGAAATTTAGCAGCATCTATCCATCTGCAAGAAAAATCAAACACACGCACCAAAAAATAAAAAAAATAATAAAAAAACACATCAATTATTTTAATGCATTCGATATTAAGTAGCATGATCAACTTGTCATAGCCTGTCTCACCTGAAAGCATTGGCCACCAGTTGTTATATAATGCACAAGCCTAAGTCAAGGATTAAGAAAAATTACAATAATATTAGTCCATGTTTTATTGGGAGCTAACGTTTTCAAAAATTGAGTTAATTTGCTAGTGTGCATCTATAAACAAGCCTAAGAAGAAACCAAAAGTATGTAAAGTTAATAAACATCAGTCAATGGATGATGAAAATGAATACAACAAATCCTTCAAAAAAAGTGCAAGAAAAACCTGCCTCCCCAAACTAAACGACCTTCCAACACAATGTTTGTTTTCCTTTTTTCCAGCCTAGGGCTCAACTGCTAGAACCTTAAGAGGAACCAGAATGCAAATCAACCCTATAACAGCCAATATGAGAATGGGAATGGCATTTAAAGAATGTACTAAGCACTTTGATGCTGTCAAGGACATCAAGTCCAAGCAGAAAAAAGACCTAAAATATAAATAAGTTGATTTTGAAGAAATTTTGGCTTTTAGCATGCTAAAACTTTATATTATCACTCTAAACAAACACAGTATAGAGATGCATCCAAATTCCTTTTAAAATAACGTAAAAAGGATAAATACAGCATGCTTTCTAACATAATGCCAAACATTGCTTCAATGGTTAAATAAGCTTCCTATTGCAGTTCTAAGTGCCAGCATATGAAGTCACCTGCAATGAATGAGAATTCACATTCCTAGTTTTTTACCCCAAACCAAGATACTTTCAGAAACAAGACATTGCCAAGTACCAGCATAGAATGTCTCTTGGGATGAATAAGAACTTATGTTCCCTATTCTCATGCTATCAAGCACAGTAGCACACAAACAGGATAAGGGTGAAAATCATCTTGGCACAATACGAATGACAGAATATAATCACTTGAAGAGCGCTTGAATCATGGTTGTCAATACCTCACAGCCGTTATATACTGTTTCAGCCATAAGCTAGCATCTACTAGTAAATTGCATTTTGGATAAATTATGATGTGTTTTGGCCCATTTCGGCCAATATCGACTTATACTGGTGCCTATTGGGACATACAAGTTGGCATAAGATTTTGATATTATAAACCAATTTTTAATTTTTTTATCCTAATAATGTTTTTTATAATTACATTAAAAAATATAAAATATAATTATTGATTAATGTTATTGATCCTAATTAATAATTTCAATTTTATAATTGCATATAAATAGCAGGTATGTATAATATATATTTTTAAAAACAATAAATCAGACTATATATATATAGAAAATATTTTAAGAAACTGATAAACCCAAAATGATACATGGAAACAGATAGATGCTAATAAGTACCCCCAAAAAAATGCATCCACCAGTATGATACTGATAACCTTGGTTTAAATTCAGTGAATCATATCTACTTAGACTTGAAGAACATGACCAACAAAAGCATAGAAGCATATTACTCACACTGCATTTAAACACTAGCACTGCTTCTATCACAAGGAAGTAAAAGAAGAATACATTATTGATGCCAATTCATTCCAAATACAAAACAGTAAAATACACATAAAATTACTATTGAGATTATACAACAAGAATCCAGTGTCGATGCCAACTATGGGCATGCAGTTGAATCAGATTAGAGAAACATACCAGAATTTGCAACAGAATACTAGATGAAAACATAAAAGCAAGCCCAGCAAGCCTGCACATTAAAAAAAAAAGTACAAGTAAACTTCACTTTGCTTATAACTTTACTAAAACTGAGAATTACCAAAAAAATAAAATTACTACAACTTACACTGAAGTTATCAAGGTTCATCCAACAACCCAAAACAGGAAATGCACCATAAAGCAAAAGAAAATGAAATTAGTACTAAAATAATGTCAAACAAAAAAAATAAAACAAATGGATAAAAAAATCCAGAACCCTCATTAACGAAAGATCTGGGCTCTACAACTTAATTTGGTTCCAAATCCCTATTTAATTGCAGGATTATAGTCAAACTGAAAGTACCCAACCTTCAAAACGTTTGGGAGAAGTACCAATTTTTAACGTTAAAATTTTACAACCTTAGAAAGAATGGGAAGGGCAAATCAAAGTGGTAAAGAAAAAAAAACGAAATAATGAAGAAACGAGAGATTATTGTTACCTTCAATAGTCATCGCCATGTTCTTGTAGTAGATGAAGTTGGAGTCGTAGTGGATCGAAATTTTGCTCACCCCAAATTGAGATAGTGTAGAACAAAAAAACGCGAACAAACTACTCCGGAGAAAAAATAGAAAAAAAAAAAGGAAATAATGCATCAAAGACCTCTGTACTTTTAAAACAAATTAACGTGACTCTCGTATTATATTATCTCTTAATGTGACCTTCCAACTCATCAAATAAATATAATGTGGGGGCAAAATCGGCCTAGTAAGGTCTATAGCTTTTTTATTTTGCCTAATAGGGCAAGTATAAATTTATTTTGAGATCTACGGTATTTTATATAGTGACATAGAATTCGTCACATCGAGATGATAAATTTCAATAAAAAATATTTTTTATGCTAACTTTTTATCTTGATGTGATAGATTTTAATAAAAAAATATATTTTATTGAAACTCGTTACCTCGATATAACGAGTTTCATGAATAATGTAGACACTCATTTTCGTTCGTAGTTTTTTTTAATATATATAATAATATAGTATAGTTTTTGAAAGAATTTTCTTTCTTTTGAAACATATAGTTTTTAAAAAAAAATCTTTTTTTGAAAATATATATAATATATAGTTTTGAAAATATTTTTGAAAATATATATAATATATAGTTTTGAAAACGATTTTTGAAAATATATATTATAGTTTTGAAAACCATTTTTGAAAATATATTATATAGTTTTGAAAACGATTTTTAAAATATCTTATCCGAAAGACGGTTGCGACAAATACTATAGAAAACATCATAGATCCCAAAATAAAAATCGAGATACCCTAATGGGCTAAAAACCATTATCTTTATTAGGCCAAAAAAAACCCAATGTGGCCCTCTGACGTTGAATGATAGTATGACAACTGAGCTAAATTGATAATTCAAATATAACAAATAGACTGTAATGTCAGTATCGTGTACTATCAAGTCAGCACCGTAAATTGTCACGTCAGTACCATAATAGTCAAACAATGAAAAACATTGGTCAAAGAGCCACATTGTTTTGTTTTCTGAGTTGAAGTATTATATTGAGAAGAAATACATGTTAGTTTTTTTTTCTCCCAAAAGTATAAGTAACTCTGATATTTTTTACCAAAATAAAAAAGGGTTCAATGTTTGGGGACATCACAGTGTAGTACATCTCCATTGTTTTCTTTTTAAGGGCTATTATTATTATTAGGGTCAAATACATGTCCGAATCATTGAATTATTAGTCCAGTTTTCTTTTAAAAGGTACAACTTAATTACTCAATTAAAAAATTATTACAAATAGATCATCAACATATAATTTATGAGAAAATAACCCCAGTGACCAAAAATGCCTTATAATATACGATTTTAACCAACTTTTTTTGGATTTGCCAAAATGACCAACTAAATCGCAATGCGATCGATAATTCGCAACGCGATCTCCGGTATCGCAAATCAGTTTCCAGATTCGCAACGCGATTCTGACTATCGCATTGCGATTTTTCGACTATCGCAATGCGAATATGTAAATCGCAATGCGATTATGACTATCGCAACGCGATTCTAACTATCACAACGAGATTCTGACTATCGCAACGCGATTCTGACTGTCGCAACGCGATGCTGACTATCGCAATGCGATTTTCAAAACGCCACTATTATCGCAACGCGTATTTTTTTTTCAAATTCCAAACACGAATATTAATATATTGGCACACTGAACCGTCCACAGTATATCCTGTAATCGTAACTCATAACCTAAAACCCTAAATCACAACTCAGTCTCATCTCCATCTCTCACTCTATAAGGTGACATCCGTCCCCATCTCTGACAAAATCAGTCCCCATCTCCGGCGAAATCCGTCTATCTCCATCTCTCAGAGCCACCCTCACAATCATTCACGGTCAGAAATGGAAAATCAACCAAATCAACCACCGAGGGTTAGTTTTTTTAATTATTTTTATTTTGAATTTTTTGCATTATTATTAGGTTTTTCATATTGAAATTGATGATAAGTTTACTGGTAATTTCAATAATAGATTAACCATTTCATTTAGATTGCTTATTAAATTCATTCGATTGCTGTTAATACTGCTAAACTGTTTAGTCTTTAAACCCTGTGAATTTAGTAATTGTCTTTGTTTTGTCTTTTAATTGAAGTAATGCAATCCATTCAAGTTTCAATTTTAGTATTTGAAACCGAGAATCGCAACGCGAAATGAAAATCGCAACGACAGAATCGCAATGCGATTTTCATTTCGCGTTGCGATAGTCATTTTCGTGTTGCGATTTTCATTTTCGTGTTGCGATTTTAAGTTTCAGAAACTATTCTTCTTCTGCAAATTGAAACTTGAATGAATTGCATTACTTCAACAAAAAAACAAAGACAAATACTAAATTCATAGTGTTGCAAATTTAAGTTTGAAGAATAAACTACTACTCTTTATGTTTATTGTTCTTGGTATATCTTCACAGTGTAGTTTTTGGTATATCTAACTTGGTATGTTTATTGCTTTTGTAGAACTTTTATTCGGCTCAATTGACCTTAAGAAATAAATTAAGCCTGGCCAAAACAATTGTGTCGAAGCTTTCACCTGCACAAAGAAAAATATTTGAGGATACTTGCTTCGGGCCATGGCTGAAAGTACAACATCCTGGTGGAGATGCTATGTTGAACCATCTGTTTCTTCAAACCATGACTAGCGATCTACCAGAGACTATACAACGTCGTGATGAAGAGATATGGTTTGATTTTCCACCGGCGTATACGTGTTTTGGGTGAGAGGAGTTTTGCTTAATCACCGGTCTACGCTTCAGACACGATGATGTAGGTCGGTACACTAGACATATTACCCGCCTATCATGGTTATCCCGGGTTTTTCCTGAGCTGTCAATGGAGAAGCCAAATTTACACGTGGAAGACTTGACGAGATTATTGAATAAGAAAGATGGTTTTACTCAGATGGATGACGTCGATGTTGTCCGAGTATGCCTTCTAATACTTTTGTATGCCGGCTTTTTAGGCAGAGAGGCCATACAACCTATTCCTAATGATCTAATTAAATTGGTAGAGGACCTAAATGTGTGGGGTTCGTATCTATGGAAAGCTACATGGAATAAGTTGTCGTCTGCCTTTGATGATCGAAAAAGTTTGCGTGGCGATGGTTCCAAATACACTTTGTCAGGCTTTATTTGGGCCTTTAAGGTAAGAATTTTTATATAATGTTTCCAAAATTATAATTAATTATTATTTAACAATTACTAATGTTTGTTATTATATTGTTTGTAGATTTGGATATTTGAGGCCTTTCCCGCCATGCAGACATATGCATTAAAAACTTCTAATGATATTCCTAGGGCTATTTCCTAGAAGAGGAAATGAACCTTGCAGCAATGGGAAGATTTACTACCGTATACGATAATAAATAATGTAAGTTAACACAAATACTACCATATGTTTATAAACAAGTTATTACTAGTACACGTTTAACTTTGTTTGAGCTTTTATATTGTTAGGAGTCCAACACTCCATTACAGAGGCTGACACCCACGGAAGCTGAGCTTGCCACTGATTGGTGGCAAGCTAGTAAGCTTTTTTTTGATGGCACGGATGATGAGCAACCTCCACTTCGAGAGCCATCACCTCACCCAGAGCCATCACCTGATCGACCCGACTATACACCTCCACAACGAGAGCCATCACCTATTCTGTCACATCATCGAGCCTCTTCTCCACCATCACCTCATGATAGGCGACCGACAAAGATGCCACGACATTTATCTCCCTGTTCTCCACCTCCACCTCCATGGGATGAGTTAGGGGAGTTATGTGATGAGGTCAATGCCTTGCGTGAGGAGGTCGGTACTTTACGCGATGACAATTATGCATGGCGTGTTGAGGTGTCTACTTTACGTGGTGAGGTAGCCGCTCTATGTGAGATGGTAGTATCGTTGTAGAATGAGGTTCATACTCTACGCAACGAGGTAAGTTTAATATTTTTCATATTTAACTTGATGATAAATTTACTCGTAATTTTACTTAGATTAACCATTTCACTTAGATTAACCATTTCACTTAGATTGCTTAGTAAATTCATTCGGTTACTGCCAATACTGCTAAACTGTTTATTCTTTAACCCTGTGAAGTTAGTATTTTTTTTGTCTTTTGGTTTAAGTAATGCAATCCATTCAAGTTTCAATTTGCAGAAGAAGAATAGTTTACTTTCGCAACGCGAAAATGACTATCGCAACGCGAAAATGACTATCGCAACGCGAAAATGACTATCGCAACGCGAATTTGACTATCGCAACGAAAGAATCGCAATGCGAAATGAAAATCGCATTGCGATTCTCTCGTTGCTATAGTCACTTTCGCGTTGCGATAGTCATTTTCGAGTTGCGATAGTCATTCGTGTTGCGATTTTAAGTTTCAGATTCTATTCTTCTTCTGCAAATTGAAACTTGAATGAATTGCATTACTTCAACCAAAAGACAAAGACAAATACTAACTTCATAGTGTTGAAAATTTAAGTTTCAAGAATAAACTACTACTCTTTATGTTGTCATTGAACCTGCACTAAACCTATATGTTGTCCTTTTAAATGTTTATATAAGTGATTACTTCTGGAATGTTATCTGATGCATTTTGTGAACAATGATAGAATAATGACTTGGGTGAATACCGTGCAAGTTTGAAATATATTTGTCTTTGTTTTCACTGTTTAATATCATGTCTGTTTATTTACTGATTTATGTATTAATTTATTTTTAGCAGCCCGCTAAGGTGGATGCTCTACGTCGGGTTTTTCTTGCAAGACGGAATTCACGCATCAGACGGCGTGCACGTGCCATTAAGTCTCCGTTCACCCCAATAGTGCGAAGAATCCGTAAGAAAAAGCCCGACTCACCTGTCATCGTTCAAGAGTCCCCTCCCACCGTTCAAGAGGCCACTGTCATCGTTGAAGAGGTCCCTCCCAACATTCTAGAGCCCGATTCACACGGCGTAATATATCGAATTATTGAGAAACCCCCTCACGTGCCGGACATGATGGATGACTGTTAGCTTTCGTATAAGTTATCAGCCAGTACCATTCCGGCAGATGAAGTGGAGAGGAAAC